AGTAGTTTTCTTAATTTCTGTATTTTTTTTTTTTTTTTTTGAAAATAGGTAATTCCGGAAGGTTCTGATGATGCTGGAACTTTGGCTGGTTTTGGATTCATTTCATCTACGCAAATTATTACTTCACCTACTGCTATGGTTATCACTACACAAAAACACCACAATTATATTTGATTTAATTATTAAAAATAAGGAAAATGATTTTTGTATAATTTTTTTATTTTATTTTTTTTACAACTAAAAGTATCATTAAAATTATTAATTTTTTAATTCATGTGAAATTTATGATATTAAATGCATCAACTCATTTAATGACATGTGAAAATTGTATGAAAAAATAATATAAAAAAGTTATGGACAATTATACATACACTCTCTCAATCAACACCCATCTCAACACCCAAGGCTTATGAACACTAAAATTACAAATTTACCCCTCCTCATTTTAGCCTTAGGTGTTGAGATGGGTGTTGATTGAGAGGGTGTATATATAATTATCCAAAAGTTATCTCTATAGCACAACACTAGAAATAATTAATAGTTGATAATTGCTATAATAATTGATATTTATTATTTAATTAATAATTTAAAATTATTCCATAAGCCAATAATTTCAAACAACTTAACGAACTATAAATTGATAAAATTTGACAAAGTAAACTATTTTATGTAACCTTAATATTTATTCATTTGGTCAATATCCATGGCCTTAATCTGCAAGGATTGGTTTGCATTCTGTTGTAAATTTCGTCAAAATTTCAGGTAAGCGATCAATAAGATTTTATTTTTTGGGGGGGTTATTTACTTAGGGTGTTTTTGGTCAATTTTTACGAACTTCAAAATTAATTCTTTCTTAATTTTAAAGATGTACCCCTTACATTAGTTTTGTGCATTCAAAAAAATTAATTTCTTTAGATATTGACTCTAACACTTAAACTTTATATTTAACATATAAGAAAATACTTATTTATTAATAAATCAAACAGTTAGAGTTTCAATATAACTTTTTTCAAATCTAGAAATCATAGTTAAAACAATAATACCATATGTATAATGATTTTTAATAAAAGTATAATGCTTCGTACAATATATAACGTGATATTCATATCTTTCCAAAATACGAAAGCAGAACTAGAGAAAAACTGATGAGGGGCATTTTTTTTTTTCTTTCAACTCTAACTCTAAGACCCATTTTTTATCTCTACAAAGAGATTTAGTTAGGGTTAGGGCGTTTGATCTTTCTCCCAAAACTTGGCTTTTTGTTTTTTTTCTTTTATTTTTTTAAAGACCTACCCATCTTCTACAAGAGAAATGGAGGGGAGTGGAAGGAAAATGGAGTCATATTCTTCCCCTATCCTTCTCTTTTCTTTAATTTTTTATTAGCTAAATAAGGAACGAAAGGCTGAAAAAGCATATCTTTTTTAT